GAAACTTTTAACTATGCAGCTTTGCAGAAATATGTTCCTATCTGAAAACAGAGAAAGTTGCCATGGAAGGTGTGGCTGAGTGGGTTGAGTGCTTGCTTGCGAACTGAAAGGTTGCCAGTCAGGGCGCATGCACGGGTGGCCAGCCAGGTCCCCAGTTGGGGGATGCAAGAAGCCACCTATTGATGTTTCTCTCACATCACACTGTTTCTCTCTTTCTCCCTCCCTTCTCCTCTCTCTAAAAAATAAATAAAATCTTTTTTAAAAATAGAGAGAAATTTGTACTTGTTAAGAGTTTAACTTGAAAGTTGTGTTTACCAAAAGTTAATTAGTGCCTATTTCATGTTCTGGAAGGATAAAATATCAAAGTTCTATGGAGATGTTTTATTTATATATACAGTATTCCACAAATCAATGGGATATTCAAGAGATGAAACAGGAACATCTTTTATTTATGAAAAACAGAATAAAATAAATCTAAAATTAATTGTCATATATTGTTTCAAATTAGATCAGAATGACATATCCCTTCAGCTCTAATCAGGAATATAGACTTTTCAAGAGTATACCTTCTTCCCCATCTATTTTTAAGAGCAAAGTATTCCCAAATAACAATTAATTCTGAAAATTCTTGCGCATGAAAAGAGGTTTTGGCCAGAGGAGGTGCTATTTGAAACATCCAGAAGATTGAACTGGACCAATTACAAAAAGCTACTGTGTCTTAACATTAAACTAAAAACTCACTGTTTCACTGGTACAAGGCTAATTTTACCCAAAATGTGGCTGAAAAGACAAGTGATAGATAAGAAAGAAAAAAAGAACAAGCTGTCATTAAGTGCTATTAAACTCTCTGGCACAATTTCACAAAAGTTGATTATTGAATAACTTTAATAACAGACTTTTTAATCTGTTGCTTTAAACATTTTGTCCTGTGCATCAGGGAGGGGATAATTGCAGGGTGAGGGTGGAGGGGGAGAAGATGAAAAGATACATTGATGAAGAAAGAATAGGGGGTTAGGAGTTATGCAAGAAAAAATTTATGCAAAACCCACTATCCAGAGAAAATAGATCCCACAGGACACTGCAGTTCTTTCCAAATTTCTCAGGCTCTGTCCTTGTTGACAGCAAGCAAGTCTGGAAAGGATTGCTTAAAGGACACGGTAAGCAACTGCCTGGTTGTTCCACTAACAAGCCCATGAACTTCTCAATTAAAGTCACCTAAAACTTGTAAAAGCTATTCAGTTGCTGAAGAATGAAAAATTACTAAATTTTGTAGTCCTGATTGGAATCAAGGAATCCCAAAATTCTGTTTTTGCAGCTATAATTATTCAAACCATCCTGGCCTTTGTGAGAGAAGAGTAGGAAGCTGAAGTAGCCAGGACCTAGTAGTTCCTTCTTGATGGTCACTTAATGGGGTATATGTAGCCCTCAAATAACACCAACATTGTATTAAAAAGAGGCAATTAACCAATGGTAACCGGTTCTTTTAAAAATACTACATGACAAACAAATATCTTTATACTTAATTTCAAAAATCCCTGGACTTTCTGACAAATTGGTATTACAATTCTGAGATTTCGGCATGGGTTTGTAAATAGACAACTGGACCTTGATATTCCCTATCCACATGAAGAACTGTTTCAACAATGTCTTATGCAATGGTTTTCAACCCAAGCAAGGCGAGTAAAGGTGATTTGGGTCCCAAGAGAACATCTGGCAATGTGTGGAAATATTTTTAGTTTTCATGACTAGGAAGTGCTATAGGCATCTAGTTGGTAGAAGCTAGAGATGCTGCTAAACATCCTGCAATGTACAGGACAGCCTCCCAGCAACAAAGAATGATCTGGTCCAAAAATATCAATAGTGCCAAGGCTGAGAAACCCTGTCTAATCCCAGTGCTTTAAATATTAGTAGATTATAATGGTGAAATCAAGAAGTCATTATTATTTTCATTAATAACCAATTTGCAGAAAGCAATTTACAAAACAGATCCTGCTTAAAATTGTATGTAGCCTATACAGGGAAAAGAAATGGCACATTTATAATTCGGAAAAAAGAGAGAAAAATTAAAAAACTAGATATTTGTATTTTTTAATTCTCACCAGAGGACATGTTTTCACTGATTTTAAAGAGAGAAGAAGGGAGAGAAAAGAGAGAAAACATCGATGTGAGAGAGAAACATTGATTAGTAGGTCCCCCAATGGGGGACCAACCCATAACCTTGGTATATTCCCTGACCAGGAATTGAACCAGCGCTTTCAGTGCACAGAATAACATTTCAACCAACTGAGCCACGTGGCCAGGGTTAAAAATAAGATTTTTTTTAATCATAAAAGCATTCGCATATAATATTCAATGAACCAGAAAAGTATCCCTTTTTCTTAGACACTGTGCTGAGAAGAGTAAGGAACAAAATAATTATAAACTATCTTACTCACAAATACTTATCTATTATCAAATTGTTAATAATATCTTCAAACATATTAATATACCATCTGTAAACTAGTTGTCTTATCAGAATCTATGAAAACAGCCAGAAGAAGAATGCACTGGTACAGATCATTTATGAAATTTTTTAATTCCCTTGGTCATTGAGCAACTTAAAAAAAAAATTTAAAGGCTTATTTGGAAAGTAAGCTTGTGGCATGGGAGATACTAGAGTGTGCTTAGCCATGTAGCTCCAACCCGCCTGCTCTCTTCTCCCTTTCCTAGTAGATGTCCCCTTCAGTGAGTGGAGACAGCCCTGAGGAGGACTGTTACCTTTGCTGTGGTAATCACTGGTTTAAACTCCTTGAGAACAACAATAGTTAACGTTTTCTAAGCACTGACTAATAGAATAGGCAAAATCATTTTGATCGCTCCTCTCAAAAATCTTATGAAGTAAAATAGTGAAATGGACAAGAATACCATCAAAATAACCTTACACAAACTATGCTACATGCAACAAACCAAGATGGGTTCCTTTTAACTTAGGTTTTAGGGACTTTTTCATAGCTAGCTATCATTTTACAATTAAATCTACAATCTAAACTGTTAATTAAAACCATGTTAGTTTCTCCTTTTTGACCTCCTAGCCCAGTGCCTGGAAAAAAATTATTTGTGATAACGATTCCAAATGTCTTACTAATCCCACTAGAAATGCAAATGTGATCAGAAGACAAAAATACATTAAGGAAAGAAGTCCTAATGCCAGATTTTTCAGCTACTGCTTAAATCCACTCTAGCATTCAGGAATGACTTTCTTCTTTGGATGAAACATCTTAAAATCTGAGGTTATAATTTTAAGAAAACTAAATTTTTACAAAATGTTAGGTAGCTGTAAACTCACTTCTTTTCCATGACCTGGTAATTGCTATTACCATTTTCCTTCAGGATTAAGGTCTTCTACTCACTTGATAAACAGGAGTTGTGCAAAATCTCTAGAAGAGTCCCAACTCTCAAAGTCAGCCTGCTTGGGTGAATGGAGGAGACAGAGAAGGAGAGAAGAAGCAATAAACAGAATGTCTAACTCATCACTTTGAAATTAATTGAATATAAATTAAATTGGGAAAGAAAAGTAAGAAAGAAGGGAAAGGTCAAGCAGGACCACCTCTGAAAAAGGAGGGGATGGATATAGCATCAGATCCAAGTGTAACACTATGTACACTGCCATCCATACACAGCAGTAGCAGTAGATAAAGGTTTTACTTAGTTATTAGAAATAATGAGTTTTGGCTTCATAATATTTTTTAATTTAGATCCTGTTCTTTTTTGTAATTGTTATTGTTTCAAAAATAACATTTTTCTTTCAGAAGAGGTAATTCTTCAAATCCAGTTCACACAAAAGGATTTGGAAGGTGCAGTGAGTTTCAAAGGCACTGTATTCAGCAACACTTAATGCTATGCGTTAGGCTCTGACCAAGCCGCGGGTACCACCTCAAGTCTAGGAGCCATTATTTAGCTTTTGCTAAGTTTTCACTATACCCTTTCCTCTCCAAACACACATCTAAATCCACCAGACCTTAAACACTTTGTAAACTTTCAAACCTCTCCCTTCCAGAAACTTTTGAGTAGTCAGTATATTTTTATGCTAGGGGTTTGTTGACGTAATTCCAACAAAGCAATTGCAGATGTGACTGCCAGGAATTTTTGAACAGGGTCGAACTTGAGTTACAATTTAGTGAGAGAGAAAAATAAAACAAAAACAAACAACAACAACAAAAACAGCCCTTCCCTCCTGGCCTGAAAGCGCAAACTTCTAGGAGCACGGGGCTCACCTACCCACCTTCATACCCTCACACACTGGGCCCTGGGACAGCTGAGTTGCTGCCGTGCTTGCTGAGTCACCCTGCATTTGTGGGGTTGCCTGGCAATCAAGTGTATTATGGCTTCTTAATCTCAAAGTACAACAGCAACAACGTAATTTGGGCTGTGCGTTGGGGAGTATATATGAGTTTTACATAAATTAACTCATTTAGTTCTCACGCGACGGCTGTGTGAAGTAGGTACCATTGCTCCCATTTTGTAAGGAGGCAACTGAGGTTCGAAGCACACACTCGTGAACAATAGAGCCAAAAGGTGAAGGCAGACCCTTTGAATCTATACCCGCGCTCTTAACCATCAGTTGCCTCCCTCCAGTAAGTCCATCATCCCTGGAAAACCTGCCAGCTCTTAGGCATTACAGCTCTAGGCGCAGGGCCCAGGCCTTCCGGCCCCTCCATGGGACACGGACGGGTCCTCGACCCCGAGACGCTTTCCGCCCGCCTTTGTAACTCCGGATACGCACGGTTGGGATGCTGCCCTGCGTTCCCCGCACGGGGCGCGGGGGGGGGGGGGGGGGGGGCGGGCGCGCAGGGCGGGGCTCGGGTCTCTCCCGGGTCGGAGCCGGAGCCAGCAGCGGGAAGCGGCCGCCGCCCACACCGCGCAGGCCAGGCCAGGCGGGCGAGGCGAGGCGAGGCGAGGCAAGGTGGGGCGGGGCGGGCGGGGCGGGCGGGGCCGGCAGGACGGAAAGGGGAGGCGGAGCGGACCCGGAGCCGTGCTGCGCCAGCCCGGCTGCAGCCGCCGCGCACCTAAAGCCGCGATGGGGCTGGAGACCGAGAAGGCGGACGTCCAGCTCTTCATGGACGACGACTCCTACAGCCGCCACAGCTGCGTCGACTACGCCGACCCTGAGAAGTTCGCGGACTCGGGCTCAGATCGGGATCCGAACAGGCTCAACTCGAATCTCAAGGTGAAGCCCTTGGTGGGCCAAATCATGGGCCCGAGGGTAGTCCAAGCCCCCGCCCGGCCTGGGGGTGCGGTGTGCCCCCCTCTACTCCTGCCCCAACCCCATCCCCAACCCCACCCTCGCTACTGAGTCAGCCTGGCGGAGCCCTGGACCGGATCTACCAGCAGCAGGGCCTCCTGCGAAGCCAAGAATTGTTAGTCAAATTCCTGTGCGCCTACCGACCGTGACCCTAAGAGATGGTGGGGGACCCCAGCCAAGTCCTTCCTTCTTATTCCTCTCTTCCTGAGAGTCCCTGGTTCCCAGGGCGGCAGGTTGGGTGACAGTTAGGATCCCTGAAAATTGTCTCCGCAGGTGGGCTTCGAGGATGTGATCGCAGAGCCTGAGACTACGCACTCCTTTGACAATGTGTGGATCTGCAGTCATGCCCTCTTTGAAATCAGCAAATACGTGATTTACAAGTTCCTGACAGTGTTCCTGGCTATCCCCCTGGCCTTTGCTGCGGGAATTCTCTTTGCCACCCTCAGCTGTCTGCACATCTGGTGAGAAGGGGCACACGGGGTGGACCAGCTTTGTGAAACACAGGAGTGTTCTTTGACACCTGTCCCCTACCCTCTCCCTTCTTCCAGGAGGGCTTGGAGAGGAAGAACTCTCATCAGCTCCTGCTAAGGTAGCAAGAATGGGAGGCAAGGCAGTGTGCTGTCTTTACAATCGTAGGGTAGGGGGTGGGCGGAGGAGAATCATGAGAGGGGTTAGGAGTTTAAGCAAAAGAAGGAATGTCCTTCTGTTCTCGGATACGATTTTCCTTTGAACGCTAAGGCCCAGCAGACTGAAGGTGGAAACATGGAGGCCATTTTTCCTGCTACTGGCTGCTGCTCTCTCAGGGCTGTGTTTTGACTTGTGCCTGTCGCTTTGGGCAGGGCTTTTATTTTTTTCATCACCTTTTGTTCAGTTACCGCCTGTGCTTGGGGTAAAACAAAAGTGAGTGATCTCTGAGCAGAATGCCAGTGAGGGTATCACTGGAGAGGGATGTAAATAAGGCCTGGTTAAGCAGTGCTGTGGAGGGGCACCTCCAGTTGCAACCGGGGCAAATGGCAAGGATGAAACCAAATGAATGAAAACTCACCCCTCAGGGTAATGGAATGAGAAGGCCTCCAAATTACTTTTTCACCTACAAGGAACAACTCTAGTTAAAGGGAAAATAAATACAGAAACTTACTAGACATTGGTAAGATGTTTGAGTAACTTTATTCATGCTCAAAATACATCATAAAGCTTTGAAGAGTAGTTTTTAAGCATTAAAAATTTCTTTAAGGAAAATGTCATATTTTACCACGAAGTTTGGTGATGTTTTAAAAGATGTCCACTGTATTCGTAGAGGAAGAACATTCACACCATCCATAGTATGGCAACAGTCGCCAAGCTCGAGCTTTAGGGCCATCCTGGTGAAAGGCAAAGCTCCATATGCCTCCATGCCTTTCCTAATCACGTTATGTGGTACTGCTGCACCCTAACTTACAGTGTCTTCCTTGTTAGAAGTGACAAAACTTTTCTCCATTTCCCTTTTTTATCTGAATCAATTTATTTAGTCAGTTAGCTAGCTGTCTAGTTCAACCAAGAACATTTGTTGAGTGCCTACTTTATGCAGGGCACAGGGCCCAGGATAAATAAGATGCAGGATCTGCCTTAGCTTCCTCACCACCATGGAGAGCTGGCTAGGTATGGAGTTGGATGCTGAGAAAACTCACTTAAATCTGTTTGAGGAGAAGGAAGGCACAGGGAAGGCTATGTAGAGAGAAAAGAGACTAAAGAGGATAAATAAAACTTCACCAAATATTTAAAGGATAAACAATGAACATAATTCAGTTTGATCACTAAAGACTGTAAACAACTAAACTATGCTGAAAGTACCAAAAGACTGCCAAGGGAATGAAAACCTTTGCCTTTATATATCAGCAGACCCACAAAGGCCAGATGTAGAGTTAGTTCATATTCTAACATTAGCACATGGATTTTTTTAAAAGATAACCTAAGTCAGCATATAAAATTTGGTATTCCTAGTTAACTAAAAGCAGTCATCTAACCTTTGTGTTAGTTTTCTCACTTTCAAAGTGTGAAAAACTGAGTGACCCATAGAGCATATTGTAAAATGTTGGCTATAAAGCTATTTGGAAATAAAAGGGGGGAACCCAAAGAAATCGGAATTATCTTCTGGAGAACGGGCACTTTGTAGTACAGGCTTCCCCAGCTCGGTGAGTGTTCTAGGAACCCATCCATATCAGTGTACCAGCTGGTGGTGTTGTGAGAGGGAGGCTGTGCACGGCTTCAGTGATTTTCTTTTTTTGAAGATTCTTTCAACTCAGTTTGCCCATTTCATGATGGGTGATTTTTGAATGCACCTGCCCACAATGGGCTGTGTTCAGCAGTTTTTGACTAAAAAAGGGATGACCAACCCCTCCCTGCTCCACCCAATCTCTCCCCAAGGTACTTTTTTTGTTTCTACAGATGAAAAAAAGTCCTCAAAGGGAAAAGTGTTGCCTATGTGGAAGAGATGAAACAAACAAAAAAAATGGCCGAAGCAGTAAAAGGCATCAAAATCTATGAGTTCAAAAACTGTTTTGAGCAGTGGAAAACCATCTAGATAGATATATTGAATCAAATGGAGAGTACTTTAAAAGTGACGGAAGTTTAAACATGTAAGAATAAATACACAATTTTTTATAAATAAATTCCATTTTTTGTGGCTCCCCCCTTCATATAGAGTGCCATGTTTGTAGTCAGCAAAGCCAGGCATTCCTAAAGCACTTGTGGAACAATTAAAAAAAAAGGTTTCCATTTTCTAAGTGGTGGAAAGATAGAAGTAAAACTACAATTAACCAAATGATGCTTCTCTCCACCTGGCTGTTCTGAGAATGAGAGGTGTTTTTGTGTAGTGCTTCCAATGGTGAAACATCAAACCACTTCTTTTTTAGCCATATAAAATGTATTGTTTAACTTGAGCCTGTTTTTCAAATTATATTCATGTGGGACATTAATATTTAACCATAGTACATTTGTCTTCAGGCCGCTGAGATTGCAAGTAGAGGAGAAACCTCAAGCAAAAATGCTTAAAAGTTACTGTGTCACGTGATAAAATAGATTTATCATTAGTGTACTACATGATATAAGAATGGACCAAGGAGAAACCTTAGAGAAGAACAAATCGGAGTAAACTTTTTCTCTTTCTCTTTCTTTTCCTTTTCTGGCCGCGTGTATGTAACCAAAGCTATGAAAACATGAAGTAGTAGGCCTTCCAACCACATCACATCATCTCAGTGGATCTGACTTTTAAATTTTTTAAACAAATAACCAACAACAACAACAAACGCCCTGAGCTCAGTCTGGTGATGTTGTATCCTAGGCCAGAATACAGGTCACTACGATCCAGGGAATTGGTTTGATTTTTCACCACAGTCAAACCTAGATAGCCACCATTTGGTAACTGTAGTTTATTGGTCATAAGTAAATCATACCAAAGAAGTATGTCTAGAGCTCCCTTACCCCCCCTTTTTTTTTTTTGCTAAGATATAGTTCAAATACCTGGTTCCACTGATGGGAATGCAGTAGTATCAGTCTCATTTTCCAGAAGATTTTTTAATGTAGCAAATTGCTATGACAGTGCAACCTGCATGATACTATAGTTAATACAAAACAAAATAAAAGTGTCTCTCATAGAGGCTTTAGTATCCAGTGGAGGAATATATAATCTTATAAATTATAAAATTTATTTAAGAAGGGTTTGGTTTGCCACATTGAGCCTCAGTCAAGTTTTGAGTCATTCCAAATTGCCTGAGGTTTCTCAAGTGGTACTTTTTGGGATGATGAGGATACTGTTTGATATCAGAGGATCCCATGATCCAAAGTGAGAGAACAACCTAAAGAAAATAACATTAAAATGATTTCACCATATCCTATAAACTGAAGTCCTCGACTGTTGTCTATTACAGTCTGCTGAAATGGAAAATTCGCTTTCGCCCCAAGTTTAATTCCCTCTTAGGATATAGACATCTAACAAGTTATGAGGGTAGAAAGTTTCTTAGCCTAAGGAAGAAAGGGAAATTAATTATATTATGAGTGAAGTGGTTTAAAACACTCTGATCTAAACTTAAGTCTTATGTCAATTTGAGATTATTTTGTTATCATTGTTTTCATTATTCTCACTTCAAAATGGTTCTATTTATTATTTATTATAATGGCAGCATCATTTGAACATTTCATAGGTGCATAATAATGTAAATCCTGGTAGCCTGTCTGTAAGATTTCCAGTTTTGTAGTGATTTACCCAAAGCCACACATAAAATGAGAAACACAATAGAATAAGTAGTTGAAAGTTGCTATCATTCATGTTTCTATTTAACTGTTTAGCACTGAAACACCTAGTAATTAATTTTCTTTAAAAATTGCTTCAAGACCTGGCTATTGTGGTTCGTTTGGTTGAAGCTTTGTTCTGTAACTGAAGGGTTGCAGGTTCAATTGCTGCCTAGGTGGAGGGTCCCGTCCCCGGTCCAGATGCGTAGGACCCCTGGTCCAGGTGCCTACAGGAGGCAGCCAGTTGATGCTTCTCTCACACATTGATATTTCTCTCTCACCTTTCTTCTCTTCCTCTCTCAAAAAGCAATAAAAAAAAATGTCTTCAGGTGAGGATAAAAATAAATAAATAGATAAAAAAATTGCCAAGTCTTTATCACTTAGAACAAAACACAGGATAAATATAATCTGTGTGGTAAACAACCAATATGAATAATTCAGTATTCTAAAAATATCTCAGACAGTTGCGTGATCTTCCCTTCACTTTGGACTAAGTACAACAGACCTTTATTTATGTCACATTTTAATAGCAAATGAAGAAAATCAACCTTACTTCCTGGTGCCCACCCAGGTAATAATAAAAATTCCATCGAGGCTGTCAGCAAGGCCTGAGAATTCACAATACTTTTGTGCTCAAAGAGCACTTCTACAACAGAAAACATTATTTGCAGGATTATATAGGAAAACCAGCCTGAGGAATAGAGAATATGCAGCTATCTTAAGAAAAGGCACATGAAAAAAATAATTTCAGCAGTCTAGTTTTTCTTGTCTAAGAGTTCTGACATAATTGCAGGGTTCTTTTAACTCTATCACACAGCCCTTTTCAGTGTATGTAGTTATTATGAAAAATTAAAAATATAACTATTATAAATATAAAAATATTTAAACAATATAAAAATTAAAACAATAACATTGCTAAATTCACCTCAAACATTTACTAAGGGTTAAGGATGTTCTCACTTAAAGAACTTCCATTCTGGTAGGAAAGAGCTGTATAAACATCTATTTATGATACCTTTTGATAAATTGAGGATTAAGAAATTTCAGTATATTAGAAGCATGTGCACACGTGTGCATAGACACGCGCGCGCACGCGTCTGACCCAGCCTTGCCAAAGGGGGAAGAAAGTAAAATACAGCAACAGGAAAGGCTGCCAGGAAGTAGAACCACTGGGAAATATGAAAAGTTAGGCAGGTTAGTATTTAGAGGAAGAAGTCAAATAAATTTACTATTTGATATATTCTTTGTTTATTGATTCAGATAGCATGCCACCAATAGAAACAAGATTACCGTTTATCATCTACATGCCTCTTTATTTTTTAAGCAATATATCTTCTGTGCATCTTATCACTATGTGGGTCACTTTCATTTATTTGTTTCAAACATTCAACCAAATTCAGGTGAATTAGGCCATTATATCTTTTCACACATGTGCAAGAGTCAGTGGTCTTATTTGGTAACAGCCAATAATCCTTACACACCTCTCTTCCTTCATTCCAGGATTATAATGCCTTTCGTAAAGACCTGCCTAATGGTTCTGCCTTCAGTGCAGACAATATGGAAGAGTGTGACAGACGTTGTCATTGCCCCATTGTGTACAAGTGCAGGACGCACCTTCTCGTCTGTCAGCTTGCAGCTGAGCCATGACTGAACACTTGGATCCCAGGTCTGGAGATTCGGATGCTGTAATACTTCTTTGTTGTTATATTATAAAAGCACTACTGTTCTGTTCATCCCCCAACTGTTCTAATTAAGAAAACTATTAAGATGGACAACCACATTTAGAAATGTTTATTGGCAAATCTTTTCAAATAATGCTTTTCTAGTTAATAACCAAGGATTTCATATCTGCCTTTATAACCAGAACTAAATAATAAGTTGGCAACACTAATTTTAAAGACAGATACTTTTTGCTTTAGTACAAAAGTATACACTTTATCATGATGAATTAATAATGATCAAGGGACATTTCCTTCAAATACTACAATGGTTTTGTGCACAACTGCACATAAAAATAGAAGATTTCTTATTTTTTTACTCCAGAAGTAATACTCTTAAATTACCTTTGCAGATAAAGTGATAGAGACACTTAGCAATAAGATACCCAGAGATCCTAGAAACGGCAGTAATGAAAGCATACAGTAGTGATAGGGGCTATCAAAAATAATAAAATAAATGTGAAAATAGATTCATGCACATGTGTTCCTTTAAATAAGATATTGTTAATCTATAGTCCTATTTAACAAGATGCTTCCATTTTACTGTATATTTTGTACTTAATGTAAATGTTGCTCTAATCAGATTGCTTTAAAGCACTTTTATTATATTTGTGTTCTTGTTGAGGTAATATATACAGTGAGTAAATATATCTCCCACAAGGAACTTCATTGCTGAGATGCACTGTCTTGATTATATAAACAGATATATCTTCTTTGGGAACAGAATGTAAAAAAGTCAAATACTGGCTTTTCTTTCTAATTTTTCCAAGCAAAACCATGAAATGTTTTATAACTAATGTTTATCTGGCTGTGATCTTAAAATAATCTGTATCTAATTCTTGTTTTGTCCAGGAGATACTTTCTCTCTTATAATTAGAAATTAAACTCATATGCTGCAATTCCTAACTGGTGCTATTTAATAACATTTTATAATAAAGGCTATTTCTGACACTTAAGTACAATTTCAACTACAGTGATTCATGTAGAGAGACTTCCAAGAAAGCTGTCAATTTGTTGGGTCCATGATACTGAGCTATTATATATAAATTAAACACTAACAGCTATAAACTTTCAATATATTGCCTAATATGGGTTTTGTTACACAGTATAGAATTATTCATATCATTGTGAACTGTAAAATCCTATTTCAATGTTATAAATTGCTGTTGTTTTAAAATCTCATTATTCCAAAATGGTAGCATATATAAAGGATGTCTATGAGTGGTTGCTATAATTTACACATCTTAAAAGTATAAAAATGCTCAAATTTGAGAACTACTATAAGAACCTGAATTATCATTCCTTTGAATACCTTTATAGCTGGCAAATCTTCATTCAAAGACTAATTTTACTTTTCCAAATCGCCAGAACTGGTGAAATAAAGGATGATTAAACTGGAATACTATTGGGGACCAAAGCAAATGAGTGATTAAATTATGACACTTGTGTTTTTCTGAAAGTAGCCTCAAAAGAGACTTTAAAAACAGTCTTAGGCCATTATATCATCCTTAGAAAAGACCCTCATGATCATCACCTTAAAGCATTACCACTCATTTGACTTTAGATTTTATTATGTTGGTCAATAGTCAGGCCCATGACTTTATAATTTTACCTTGTACTTAAAGGGTTCTTTAAAAATATTTGGATATGTTAATTGGCCAAAGTATTTGATTAATAAAATATCTATTTAAATAAATCATGAGTTTCTATCTTTTCAAAAAACTGTTGGCAAGTTCTAAAGCCAAAATATATACGCGTAGTCATATAACAAAACGATTAACTTTTAACAAATGATACATATGAGCTCCTTGTTTCAAATAACATTGAATATTTTCAAAATGAATTTTTATTGAGATTTGCCATTAACTATTTTAAAAGACTGAAATGTTTTGCCAAGTGGATCCAGGTTTCATGTGCAAACATGTTTGTTCTTTTAGTGGGGTATGGTTGAAAGGAAGATGATGAGGAGATTTCCTTGATATCCATAATAAACTTTCTAAAAACCCATAGATGCACTAATTGTTTTTCTTACATTAAATATAGAACTGATCAATAAAGAACCTTTCAAACTAATTTACATTATTAAAAAATCATAATAGATTTAAAAATAGATGAGTTATGGTCTATTCAGGAATGTATTGCTGAAAAATGATGAGATTGGTGATTTAATTCTTTGTTTTCCCAACACTTAAAGAGGTTCCTTACTAATTTTTCTGTCATTTGATAAATAGTATGGACTACTTGTTCACAAACCCCCCATATTTCATCTCTTCATGAAATAAAGGCTCTTGCTAATCCTGAATAAATTGTATTTCTGTTTTCAATTTTTAAAATAACAAAGTAAAACAATATAAGTCACATGTTCTTGGATACTGGTACCATGAAGCCCAACTAAACAGTAAATTATTTTTGGAAAGTGAGTATGTGAAGAATAGTTGCTGATACTCGCATAGATTTTGTTGTCATTTTATCTGGAAAATTGACCAACCTTTAACAATAGAGCAGGTATCTAACTTTTAAAAATGCTCTTCATAGTTTCAAAGAACCTTAAAAATCCCTCTTTTCAATTGTTATTCACATCCCATGAATTTAGAGGGTTTCTTGGGAAGCTTTTGGACTGTAATGGAAAGAGCTCTACCCTCAAGGTCAAGCATCTGGATTCTAACCTCAGCACTCCCGTTCCTGAGGTGTGTCACCTCCTGCAAATGCTTCCGGCTCAGTGGTCTCAATTTTCTTATCTTTAATGAAAGAATTAAACTAAAAAAAAAAAAAAAAAATCAGGAGCTCTCTAGCTCACTGTTATATTCAGCAGGGTGAAGACTTGGCTATGTATATGCAAACCAATCTATTTGTTCAGTCCACGAATTTTTTATCATGAATGTTCTATCAACTAAAGGGTTGGTGTGCAATAAATACAATAATTAATGTGTTCACTTTTCACTCTTCAGTTGATTGTGAAACTATGTTATGTGGCTTTGATTCTTCATGACAGGGATTCCTAAATTTATAACAATTTTAAATTTTTATTATTGTGACATTTTTCTCCAAAATAATATCTTACTCTATATTTTTAAATTAATTAAAATTTATTTTATTTGAAGATTTTTCTACAAAAATCACTGCCAGACTGACATAATCACTGCTATCTTCATCTTGTGCCTAGCTTGTTATTACAGCCTACCTGCCAGCGGGCCTTATTCCCCGTCTTCAATAGGACCTTCTCCAACCCATCTTGCCCTTCAATACAAAAGTGATCATATCAATCCTTCCATGTCATTCTCCTGCTCTAAAATGATCAATTGTCTGATTACTTTTATAATAAAATCCAAACTCTTGAACAGTGTACACAGGGCCTTCACAATCGACCCACTGTCATCTTCAGCAACTCTCTTCGGCAGCCCTTCCTGCAGTGCCCGTGCTGCTCCTGTGTGCCTAGCTCTCCCTGTCCCCAGGCCAGCATCACCCGTCTCCTCATGGCCTGTCTTACCCCTCCTGTTTCTAAAACTCCTCATTAAGTGCCTCTTCTGTGTCTTCTTATAAAATCTTGTACAAACCCCAGTTATCACCACGCCATAAAACTCAACCCTGTTAATTCACCCCACTTTCACTGCTAATTAGATCTAAAAGCATGACTTCGGTTTTGTTTCCTGTGATTATGAAACGATGTCCATCACGTAGTGAGTTCAGTTAGTATTTTCTGAAGGAATGACTCTGATTAAGTCATTGAAGAAAACTTGAGATGATTCAGAGCTCAAGTGAAAATCACATTTTGCCTTCAAAATTTTCTTCATTTGCAAGAGGGGTTTGAAATGTACTAATTGTAGTAATTACTCCCAATTTTCTTATCTGAAATTTATTTCGCATCTTCAGGGATAGGAAACACTAACACTTAGAAACTCATTTGGAAACATCCTTTCTGGCATTTCAGAATGTTGTTTGTTTTTATTTAATCCTCATCTGAAGATATATTTACTGATTTTTAGAGAAGAAGGAAGGGGGAGAGAGAGAGAAACATCCACCAGTTGCCTCCAGTATGTGCCCCAACTGAGGACTGAGTCCGCAACCTAAGTATATGCCCTGACTGGGAAAGGATTGTAACCACAGTCTTTTGGTTTACAGGGCGACGCTCCAACCAACAGAGCCACTGGGCCATGATCAGAATGTTGCTATTTCTTTTACTATCCTATTTCCCATTTTGAAATGTCTAATACTAAAACATTGTTTTTATAGCATTTTACATTTTCATCCAGGACAAATTAAATAGCATAGTGGAGAAATCACATAAATAATAGCTCAATTTCTTTATCTTGAAACTTTGTCATTTTAGAATGTTAATTTGAGATAACAATAACTTAAAGAATTTGTACAAGGTTACACATTAAAAAACTTTTTAAAAAGTAGGTGTGCTGCAATAAAAAATTACCACGGCCAATACAATTTATCACAAATCAAGATTTGGTATACTTTTTCCTTCAAGATATATATGTATGCAGGGAGGACAAGGGAAGGAATTGGAGGAGAGAGCACAAAGCTAAGGATGTATTCAATATTCAGGTTATAATTTTTAGGAATGAAAAGAACTTAGGCTTCCATAATTTAAACATCTCAATTCCTTGCCTCCCCCCTTTCACCCATAAAGAGCCAAATGAGCAAAAGACGGCACTTGCGTTTTTTAAATTATTTGTACCCACTCCTCAGGTATTTTCTTTGGCCTGTATCTGAAATGCCATTATTGGGGCCCTTATAACTTAATGCTTATTGAAGTGAAAGATATGCTTTGGAGGGGGTAACATTTTAATCTATTAGCAGTCATCCATTACTTCAATGTGAATGGATGACCTAAGAAGGGAATATTGAAAAACTACATAAGGGACCCAAGCATGAGGGCCTTAAGATGAGAACCATATAAAAGCATCATACAGTGATTAAAAGGCATGCCACCAAACATAAAATCAGGACAGAAAAGGGAAAACAGGAGTCTCCAATGACAAAATCTTCACCCTTTGCAATTTTGTCCTTGGGCCCCCGTCCCAAACTCCTAGTGCAGGGGGCCATGGAAATTGAACAGGAGTGGAAGGAGCTGAAGTCAGCTAAAGACTTTTCCATAAAGGAAAGTTGCCTATATCTTATTGAATGAAAAGGGCCATGGGAGGAGATGTGAGGGTTCTGCTAGAACCATGTACTCTAAAGACCATGGCAGAAAAGCAAAAGTTAAAATGAAAACTGAACTACAACTTGCGGCCATCCTTCTCTCCTCCGCAGCCCTTCTCTGTGCTGCTAACTGTTACAATGTATCTGTGGCAAAGAAAGAAGACCCTGCAGCAGTTAGAGAAATCAGAGGACACCACTTCAACAATTGTCCAGAAATAGGACAGACACCTATCTGCCTGCAGTAGGACGTTAGGTCACTCAGCTTGGCCGCACAATTGGAGAAGTCATTTTGCCATTATAGGAAAAGGTAGGCGTCGAGAATAATGAGAGAAAGAAAAAGACATGACTCAGAGTAGGAAATGGCGCGTCTCCAAGGGCAAATATTTCTTCCAGACATAAATGGGTCCGGAAGAGATCGAAGTAACAGGTCATCTTTGGAGCATTCTTTTCTTTCCCAGCCTCTGAGTAGCTTGTCATTGAGCAACTGTCAGTAACAAAAGGGGAGAGAAGGGCAATAAGCAGGACCTGCTTCTCTAGCTGAATGGTACACCAGTTCCTGCCAGCTGCTGGCAGAGCTAACTGGGACAGTGAAACAAGGAGTCATTCGGGAAGGTGCAAGGATAAACTCCATTTCCCAGTGAGGCAAGTGGCGAGGATTAACATGTTTGCTTCTTTTACAGAGTAGGAAATAGATTAGAGTCCTGTTCTCTGGTACAAACAATAAACTACATTTGTTACATTTTTATTACCTACTTGGCATCTAGTTAATGTACACAATAACCCTATGATGTGGGTTCTATTATCAACCCCATTTTTCTGATGAGGACACTGATGCCGTAAAGTTAAAGAATTTTCCCAAGATCACACTGGGAATCAGCATTTCCACCAAGAGAAGCTGACACCAGAGTTCAGGCTCTTGATTACTAGAGAGATTATCTGCTATTTCCAGAGTATGTGTGTGGCTGTTCCAGTGACTTGGTTTCCCTTCTTTTTCAGTCATCGTTCAGTCATGTCACATTTCTTGCTCTGAGAAGCACCTTTTTCCCCCTTTCTTCTGTCCATTGGACTCAGTTCTAAATCCTCAGTGGTGAAAGCTCCCCTCCCCTGTCCCCTTCTAATCCCTGTGCCTGCCCCCAACCCTTACCCTGTTTTTCTGGGCACACCCTTTCCTTCCCTGTATGATTTGTGCTCTAGGCCCTACATTTCAGCTGATGTCAAAAACATTTTTAAATGCTATTATTCCCATGTTGTATAAATTTCATAAAACTTACTGCCTTTAACAAATATGTATCAAAAACACAATGATGATATTTCTCCTCAATACTAGATATCTTGATATATAAGATATTAATAATTACAGTAATAATTCTTAATTAGACTAAGAATGTATTTTTCTAGAGGTCATAATTTGTATTTTTCTTCATTTAGTTGGATATTGCCAGTTTGTACATCTTTTAATATGTGATTCAATCTTATTGTTAGTTATTTTATCTTGCAAATCCTAGGGAAAATCACATACAAATTTATTTCCCTCCTATACTATAATTTGCTAATAATAAATTTTCAGAGACAGAAAAACTGGACCAAAGTAAACAATTATATTAACAGCTTAGTTATATACTACCATATTGCTTTTCGATAGGTTTGTGCAATTTATCATTGCAATAGTAGTGTACCTGGGATTGCTACTCTACACATGATCAGCATTTGTATCTATATATGTATATCAAAAAATTATACATGTATAGATCTATATTGACATGTAATTTTTACTAAGGTATTGCATGGTATTATAGAACATTATAGTACTCCATTTTACACATATAAAAATTTAACATTTTTCTTTAGTGATGAAAATTTAATAAATTTTTTTATGATATTGTGATGCCCATGCTCATTTTTCCCCTAATTTTTCATTCACATCTCATATAGTAATGTTTTCTGTCCTTTGCAATAATAGTTATTTTGGAATCCTATCATAGGACATGGCCTTTATATTTCCCATCATTGTCAACGGCTAACACAGATTCATCCACTCTTCTTTTCCTTTCTTCTTTCTCCTCCTCGCTGCTCTCACCCAGTCCAGTTAATTGAATAGTTTAGATGGCCTTGAAGGGTAAAGGTTTATATATTTTGCTGTGAGACAAAGAAAAAC